ACGTGATTCCTGAATCCTTGGATAGATCTTCTAGTACTATCCTGATCTTGCCCTAGGTTTTTGATTGGGTCTTTCTCTAGTTTGAACTTTACTGGGCCCTTTCTACAGAATCTTCCAGAGCTCCTGGACTTCATCTTCTGTACATTCTTTCTGCTTTCACCTGCAAATCCAGAACGCTTGGAGGGCCCATGCTTGATTTTTGCTGGACACTGACATGTCATCAGTGAGAATTTGCCTTGAGGCCTTGTCAGTTGCTCAGGGCCGTCAGGTGGTTCATCTTTGATGAATGTATCTTGTTGCTGCAGTTTTTCCTGGAGATCAGGGATGATAGAATCCCTGGGATGGATGGAGGCTGTCTTTTGGGTCTGGGGAAGGTTGGGAGTGGGTAGACTAAAGACTTCTTGAGATTCTTTGAACACGGAGGGTAAAGCCCTAACTCCATTTCAGTCCCTTCTGTGAGGACCATCCCAGATATTGATTTTTAGTTAGGATGAATGATGATGACTCCTTCGGGGATGTGGGACAAGATATTCTACAGACCCTAGTCAGGGTGGAGAACAACGGAATGGGTTTGGGAGAGAGGATGGGGATGGGCCTGCGTCTAGACCTGAGTAGGAGGTGAGGACCAGTTTTGAGACCAAAGTTGGAATTGGATCACGTGGTGGGGTAAGGGCTGGGCATGGGAAAGCTAAGAAGATTAGAGACTCCATCGAATAAAAGAGAGGGAGATTGACATGAGGAAGGCTTTCAAGGGAACCAGGCAGTAACTACCAAGGACTCACTGTGCAGAGAGGGGAGGTCCCAGAAGAGCTGGCTGCATTTCTGCTGTAAATGGTCCTCCAAGACCTTGGGATAAGAGAGCTTCTGAAGTCCAGGAAGCTTCTCTGGTCTGTCTTTCATTCTCCAGAAGGATTGTGGGGTTAGGGTGTTCTGCTTGTCACCCGGTGACTTTAGTACATTCCACAAAGAACTCAGGTGGTAGTCTGGGCTCATTTGTTTGAGAAATGACCCATCCTTTTCTTTTTCCTTCCACATCATCAGTTCTGCTCTCTTCAAGATTAGTATCTCCAGGAGCTTCTGAACATTGGGGTTGATAAAAGAGGGGCCACCAGCTTCTACCTGCCTGTGTGTGGAGTCTTCCCACAATGAGGCCTCTGGTGGATGGCAGGAAAGACACTCTTGCTGGGATTGGCCATGTGATGAACTGGGGAAGAACAAGGCCTTGGCAGTTGCCTGCCCCCAGGAGAGGAACGAAATGGTGTGGTCAAGGCCTGAGATGCCTGATTCTCCTCGAGTCAGACTAGTCTTCTTGAGGTTCTACTGGGTGGAGGCCAGAGGCAGAGGGTGCTTGGCCAGAGGAGGCATGTTACACTTCTTGCTGTGTAATAGAGATGAAAAAAATATTACTCAAAGCAACATGAATGCAATGAGAAGCCCGAAGGGACTGCACATTAGCAACTCCTCTTTTAGGAGAAATTGGGTATAGACCTGATTCAAAGTTAGCTTCTGTTTTTATTGTAAAGACAAGGAAGTTTCACAAGAAAAATCAGTTGATTCAATCATTTCAAAAGAACACAAAGACATAGGCAACAAAAGTTATCTATGGCTAAGTATAGCTTAAACAATACAAACTAGTAACATCAATTAACCACGTGACATTCCAAAGTACAGTTTCTGAAAAGCTAAGTTGATCAAACTGTAAGCATTATCTAATCTAAAATATAACCTCTCCTTAAATGATTTAAGAAGAATTACATTTTTATGATTAAATCTAAGTGTGCTTCTGCTCAAGACAGTTTCTGAAAAGCTAAGTTGATCAAACTGTAAGCATTATCTAATCTAAAATATAACCTCTTCTTAAATGATTTAAGAAGAATTACATTTTTATGATTAAATCTAAGTGTGCTTCTGCTCAAGAAACCCACAGGCTAGACCTGCATCTGGGCAATCAGGTAAGATTCTGCCTCCTGAGGCTGGAGGTGACTCCAGCCACTGGTGGAAGGCTGTCAGGGGCTCAGCACAGCCTTCCAATGAGTTCCATGTGGAGGCAAGTCTTGGCTCAAAAGTGCCTGCTGCACTGATGAGCCAGTGCTCAGGGCCTGTCCTGTCAGTGCTCTCTCACCAATCCCATCCTCGGCCACTGAGTCCTGGTGTTTGACCTTGCCCTGGCTCCTCCAGCTCAGCCACACAGCTGGTCTGAGAGCTTTGGCTAGAAGTCCTAGTGCCCACTCTCACCCCTGCCAGGCCCCACTTGTGCCTAGAAGGATGATGTTCTATTCTTTCCTGAGGTTTCCCATCTCAAGAGTCTCTCTAGTTGATTTGGAAAAGTGGAAATAGTAACAGGGAGAAAAGAGAGAATCATTGTCTGTTGGATCTGGGCGGAGGGTTGCTTACCTTCTTCATGTTCCTCTTTTTCCTAGGAGGTGGTAAGAATGGAACATTCTGCAGGTAGGGGAGTAACATAATGAAGAGCCCCACTGCACCCAGGAAGGCAAGGGTGATATCTACCACCTAGGAAGTGGAGCTGGGGCTCGGCCCTGTGGCACTAACACTATTCACAGGGAAGAGATGATTCTCCATCTTCTGAATCTCGGTGCTGTCCTTAGGCAACTGAGCCCTGAGAGTTACCTTTGGGACTAAGGCTCAGGCATGGATCACAGAGCTGTGGCCTCATCAGAAAGGGCTCCTGAGGGTGGGGGAGGGGGCAAAAAGAGGAATAGGCTGAACCACAGCCCCTCCCCCATCACCTGGCCCAGAAGATCTCTTGACCCTCCTGGGCTTTCTAAATCCCTCCTTCAGACCCCACTGCTCAACTTGTTACAGATAAACCTTCATCATTTTTCTATTCTTTTCCCCTGGAACCCAGATATTAACTGGTCCATTTTATCCCTTGGAGATCTTGGCTTGAGGCCACTAATTTTATAATAGAACCAAGCTTCTATCTGCATTTTGATGAGGCATCTTTACTAGCAAGTTCTCAGTGTATTGCTTTTCACCAGGACAGTCTGTGCATTCACCAACTCACTGTTTCTGATAATGTCATGCATTTCAACCTTGCTTTGATATTTTGATCAAGTTTTACTTCTGAATCTTCCCAGTAGTTCTGCTACATCTTGGCCATGTGTATTAGTTCATTCAGGCTGCTATAACAAAATACCACAAACAGAGTGTCTTATAAACAACAGAAATTTATTTCTCACAGTTCTGGAGGCTGATAAGTCCAAGATCAATGTTCCAGCAGATTTATAATCTGGGCCCACTTTCTGGTTCATAGATGGCTAATTTTTCAATATGTCCACATGGTGGAAGGGACAACTAAGCTCTCTCAGGGCTAATCCCATTCATGAGGGCTTCTTGACTTCATTAAGACCCAAAGGCCCCACCTGCTAATATCACCACTTTGGGGGTTAGGAGTTTAACATATGAATTTTGAGAGGGACACAAACGTTCAGACCATAGCACCATGACTCAAAGTCTAGTTTCATAAAAATCTCCTTTAATCGTTTCAGAGAACCCTGAAAAGTAAATTTGCCCACATGCAACATTCCATTGCCCCTTGTTACTCCTATTAAAGCAGTTACTAGCATCTGCTTGGTTATGTGTGACCTTCTTAGATGGAAAATCTCTGAAGCACAGGAACTATTTTGGATTAAAAAAACACAGTCAGGTGCAAGCAACACAGAGATACCTTGAGATTCTGTGGACCTAGACATATATTTTCCAGGCAAGACCTCTGAAGCACAGGAACTATTTTGGATTAAAAAAACACAGTCAGGTGTAAGCAACACAGAGATACCTTGAGATTCTGTGGACCTAGACATATATTTTCCAGGCAAGACCTAGGTAGGGTTGGAGCTAGGTGACTTGCCCAAGGTCATATGTCTAGTTTTGGCAGAAGTAGCCCTAGTACACAGTGTCTTGATTTTTAGTCCTGTGTTCTTTACACCACACACATCAACACAATTTTGGCCTGATTCTCCTTTTATCATAAAGATGGTCTTCCAATAAACCAATAAGTAGATATAGGGTCCTAAAATATGCCTAGCATTGCAACATGGGGCTAAGGTGGGATACTAAAAAGAACCATCGACCATTTATTAACATGCCACCAAATAAAAATTTTTAGCCCTCATTCTTATAATAAAGTACTTTTTTTTTTTTTTTTTTTGTCTTTTGTCTTTTTCCGTGTCCGGCAACGGATTGCAACCCTCAGTGTTGCCCCCGCACCGGACCGGGGACCGGCAACGGGGTTGCAACCCTCGGTGTTGCTCCCGCGCCTCGCTCAGCCAGTGAGCGGGAACCGGTCTGTATGTGGGATCCGAACCCTTGGGCGGGAGCGCCGCCGCGCTTCCCAAGCGGTGCACTATCCAGTGCGCCACCAGGCCGGCCCCATAATAAAGTACTTTTTGAGGAAAATATCATACTATCTTTACTCATTTATAAATTGCAAGTGATATGGATTATTACTAGATCTAAAAATAATATATGGATTCATTTTAGTATCACAGATCCTTTCATCTTTACCATGCTGTATTTTGCTTATGATTTTTTTATGAATTGTGCACTGATCTTCATGAGGCCCTTTTACATTTCTTGAAATGTAAGATTCCTGCCCTTGCCAGCAGCTATGAAACTGCTAAACAAGATAAAACAGAATAAAAGTTATTTGCATAAAACCGAATGAACTGATAAGGAAAAAAAAAAGTATAAAGTGCTGTATAACTGCAAGAGGTTGTCATTTTGGGGTTTGAATTCTGACTTTGATATTTGTCAGCTCAGTGTTTTCATCTGTAAAAATGGGGATGATGACCCATTCTATGACTTCACCCCTTTTTGCATTAGCAATTTCCTGAGAAATGACAGACTAGTTGATGATAGTGTCTAGGTACTTTAGAAGGTGGGAGACCATATGAGGAGCAGGAAGATAAAAGCAAAGGAAATTTATGTCAAATATGAGAAAATTATAGTATGGTAAGAATGGATTTTTCAATTGTATTGTAATGTAATTTCACCAACTTAGAAGATGAGAAAAAAGGTAACAAAGGAACATTTGCATCTCTTTTAAATCACTATCATTACAATATCTTGGTTCTCAGATTTCTACACGTAAGTTATCTGTTTCATGGATTATTCCAACATATTTTGGAATTTTCACTGGCCTCTTCTAATCAGCACTTTTTTTTTTTTTTGTCTTTTTTGTGACCGGTAAGGATGTCGCAACCCTTGGTGTGGTGTCGTCTGTACCGTGCTCAGCCAGTCAGCACACTGGCCATCCCTATATAGGATACGAACCCACGGTGGGAGTGACGCTGCGCTCCCAGCGCTGCACTCTCCCAAGTGTGCCACGGGGTCGGCTGAATCAGCACTGTTTCTAATTTGTCTCCTGTGTTCTAAGTTAGTCTAGGATTAGAAAATGAAATAATGGGTTACATTAAACACAAGTGAAAAAGTAAATCTGTTAGCATTCCAAAAAAATACATGGCTTTTGCATTATTTGCTGTTTTTTTTTTCTTTCTGCTTTTAGTTACCTACTTTAGTGTAGATAATTAGGAAGTTTCACTAATAAACTTGCCCTCCTTTAGTGTGGAATTAGCTCTGAGATGGCAAAGCCATGAAATGTGCATCATATTTTTGTAAATAATGACTGTTGTAATAAATTCTTCCTCCACTGCCAACCTTGAAAAATTGATTAATATTTAACAGTTGGCACTCTAAGCCACAACAAGCCAGAGGCAGCACACCACTGCCTAAACCCTACTCCCACATTCAATTAAACCCAGGAAACACTTTCTATATTTTCTTTTGTAGGCAATAAACAGCCACCAGTGCTGCCTCCTCCACCTCCACGATCACCACCTGTACTACCGCAGCTGCAACCATGTATTGGTGATAACAATAGGCTGTGTCCTGTGCTAGGCACTTTATGAATATGGTCTCTTCAAATCCTCACAACTATGCTGTGAGGTAGATATAATTGTCTCCATCTTACAAATGAGAAAACTGAGGCTTTGACTATCCCAAAGTTAAATGGTGAGTAAATAGCAGAACTACGATTAAAAAAAAAAAAACCTTAATATAGCCTAAAACTAGGGAGCCTTTGAAGCTAAAATCTGTAGCAAACATCTTGCCATCTAGAGAATAAAGAATCATATTTAGAAAAAGTTTAGAAATTTTTGAGAAATTTTCAGAGAACAAAAAATATTATTTAAGTCCCTCTATTACTTTTAAACTTTAGCTGGCATTGAAGTGTTACAAGTGTCCTTAATATATCATTTACTTTTTTAGGTTTTGAAAATATTTGTATTTTTTTCTAGTTATTTTTATTTTTAACCAGTTGATTTTTATGTATAGAAAAATGTCCTATATAGAATAATATATTTAAAATAAATTACATACTTGGAAAATATAAAGTGAATAAAAATAAATGAAAAAAAGATTCTTTTTTGTGACAGAAGTAGTTTATCAATTATAAGCTGATACTGACAAAGAAAAAAGACTACATTTATTTGCAAAACGGAGTATATGGAAACTAGAGTACTTAACCATATGTTATTAGACTTTTTTCCCCTATTTATTCACTTATAATGATTAATCATGTAGAATCCATGCACTTAATGAATTATCTTTTTTTTTTTTTTTTGCACTGTTTGAAAAGATGCATATTACCAGCAACATCGTTGTTTTTTTTTTTGGTTTTCCTTTTTGTCTTTTTTTTACTGACCGGTAACAGGATCTCAACCCTCCGTGACGCGCCCGTACTGGGGACCAGCAACAGGATCGCAACCCTCGGTGCTGCACCTGCACTGCGCTCCCTTTTTGTCTTTTTTTTACTGACCGGTAACAGGATCTCAACCCTCCGTGATGCGCCCGTACTGGGGACCAGCAACAGGATCGCAACCCTCGGTGCTGCACCTGCACTGCGCTCAGCCAGTGCGCGGGAACTCTCCACATGGGATCCGAACCCTCGGCGGGAGTGCCGCCGCGCTCCCAAGCGGCATGCTCTCCAGTGCGCCACCCGGCCGGCCCCATTAATGAATTATCTTTAAGGTTAATGAGTTATTTAATGTTCTGTGCACCTTTCAGCTAAAAGACTGTAAGTAATTAGAGCCATAGGGGAAAAATACTTCAATTAAATTAATCCTTATAATATATACATAGTAAATGTTTGTGGTATAATCTGTAATCCATTTTTTATAATAATATTTAAAAATAATTAAAATTATATAAATTTTATAAAAATATTTTAAAAATCTGGGGTTTAAAAAAATATCATGACTGTTAAAACACTTATTTTTAGAACATGGGGAATTACATAAATCCTGTCCCACAGGTTGTCCATTTACTAACATGATATGAAGTTGCATAATCAAAGAATGGATTTTGGTCATGTGTAGCTTTCAGTT